GCATTTATCTCTAGTGATTCTCTGCATCTCAGTACTCCTCACTACTGTTCGGCGTGTGCATTGTATAATCCAAGAGAGCTCAGTAACTTCTTTCAGTGAGTGTGTCTGAGCGCCCGCACCACTCCCCTCTGTTCAGCTCCTGCGTGTTTGTGCTCCCTATTAGCTATCTCTGCATCAGTCAGCTTTGTCCGTGCTGTATAGCAGAGCTGCAACAGAATTTCCATGTGAATCCTGAACCTCAGTGCAACAGGTTAAGGATTCAGTGGTTCACATGAGGATTCTGTTCCTTCACTTCTATACAGCACTGACAAAGCAGACTAATGCAGAGGCAGCCGAGAGGGAGCATAAGGACACAGGAGCTGAACAGATGGAACTCACCCAAAGGACACATGGGAAGTGGTGCAACCGCTCAGACACACTAACTGAAGGAAGTCATGGAGTTCTTTTGGATTATTCAGAGCATACAGCATGTTGGTACCATAGAAGTCTCCGAGTACTGAGACCCAGGGAGTCTAAATGTAGGAGCCCACTGGGAGTACAGAGGAGTCCAGGGAAGGTACGCAGGAGCAGACTGGGAGTACAGAGGAGTCCAGGGAAGGTACGCAGGAGCACACGGAGTTCAGCGGAATCTGCAATATAGGTAACAGCGTGTCTCAGAGGTCCTCTGGAATCACATTTCAAACTCGGGAAACGCAGGGGGTTTGGTGGGTAGTGAACCCTTGGACAGAGGGTAAGCCCGTTACTGGAGCATGGAATGGCAATAAGACTGATGCAAATGTGTTGTCCCCATATTTACACTTGGACATTGGCTTTGTAACCCTTACTCCTTTTATTTGGGGGGGGGGGGGGGGGGCAGCATCTGGGCCCATCCCCTCTATATTCTAATATTTCACTTCCTAGTTTGCATCTGATTGCCTGTGGAACATCTCTAAATGATTGAATTGTTATTTATTAGGGCTCCTGGAGGATGCTCAACCATCATCGGGAAGTGTGTTCCAGGATCACGTTATATAAAAACCGGGATTAAGTGGCGGCATTTCTCCAACGTAGAGGGATTGATCGATGTGACCCTCATGGCCTTGCTCCAAAAAAGATGGTAGGTAGATCCTGATCATTGAGGCCTTTCTCTGAAGTAACATGTTCAGTAGATGTGACCTATGAGGCCTTTCTGAAGTAGCAGAAATGTAGATGTGACCAACCAGGTCTTTTATTTAGGGCAGATGGTAGATGTGACCATCAAGTGACAAGGAGTTGAATCTGATAAATAAAGATCCATATTTCCATAGGCTTGGAGCTAATTATGTGACCCTGTGTCATGAGCTCTCCATGACCTCTTGGGGTTACTCCAGCATTATCATGTAAATGTTTTATGACAAAGTGTCAAAGGTTATCCTGTACCTGGTGTGTTTATCTATGGTGTGACAGCCAATATATGGCAATCTGTTCATAATAGTAATGTTGCTAAAGCTTTCCTGTATGTCTGCAAGTACTGTTGACCAATTTTACACTGCATCAATACTCCTGTTACAGAACCTGTAGCAGGGGCACTGTCCTTGGATACTGTCCAACCCACTTGTGTTAATAAACATGCTTGGTATCCCACCGTAAGCAAGTGGTCTTGATGGAATTCCAGAACACAAAGTCTTTTTCTAAAGTAGATGGGACTATCAAAGCCTTAAGTAGCAGGATATGTAGATCTGACAAACGAGGCTTCTCTCTGAAGTAGCAGGATAGGTAGATGTGATCATCGTGGCCTTTCTCTGGAGTAGCTTGATAGGTAGATGTGACCAAGTGACAAGCAGTTGAACATGAATATCAAAGATGCATATTTTCCTAGGCCCGAAGCAAATTATGATTGGAACCGGTGTCATGAACTCTCCAAGATCTCCTGAGGTTGATACAACGTGAATGTTTTATGACCATCTGGTAGCAAATGTTAAATGTTCTCCTGTACCTGGCTCATTGTTCACCTATACTGTGACATCAGTATTTGGCAATCAGTTCATATTAGGAATGCTGCTTTCCTGAATGTCTAAGTAATGTTGATCAATGTTATGTGTCTCCTACTCTGTATAAAGACCCCTGATGCAGAATATGTAGTGGAGGCACGGTCCTTGCAGACTGTCCAACACCATTGTATTAATAAACATGCTTGGTATCCCGCTGTAAGAGAAGTGGTCTTGCCTGAATGCCACAACAAAAGGCCTTTTTCTGCAGTAGATATGACCACCTAAGTATTTGTCTGAAGGAGCAAGCTAGGTAGATGTGTCCATTAAGGTCTTTCTTTGACAGGATACAGGATATGTAGATGTGAACATTGAGGCCTTTCTCTGAAGTAGCAGGATAGGTAGATGTGACTGTCAAAGCCTTCTTTTGAAGTAGGTAGGTAGGTGTGCCCATTGTGGTCCTTTTTAAGTGAAGGGATAGATAGATGTGACCATGAAGTGGCAAAGAACTGAGCCTGAATATCAAAGATCCATTTTTTTTCATAGGCCTAAAGCAAGTTACAGTTCAAACCTCTGTTATGAATTCTCCAAGACATCATGGGGTAACTACTACATGACTGAGTGAATATTTACTGACTATCTGGTAAAAAAATGTCAAAGCCGATGTGACCTTCAAAGCCTTTGTCTTAAGTAGCAGAATAGGTAGATCTGACCAACAAGGCCTCGCTCTGTAGTACCAGGATAGGTAGATGGTGACCATCGAGTGACATGGAGTCGATCCTGAATATCAAAGAACTATTTTTTGTTGGTTTTAAACCTTTGTCATTATAATGTAAAATGTTTTATGACCATCTGATAACATGTCAAATGTCATCCTGTACCGGGCTCATTGTTCATCTTTAATGTAACATCCATTCAGATTAGTAATGCTGCTAAGGGTTTCCTAATGTCTTTAAATTCTGCTGGCCAATTATATTTTCTTCCTACTTCGTATAAATACCCCTGTTACAGAATACGTACCTGGGGGCACTCTTCTTGGAGAATGTCCAACACACTTGTGTTAATAAACATCTTGGTATCCAACGGTAAGATAAGTGGCATTGACTGAACTCCACAACACAAGGCCTTTCTCTGAAGTAGATGTGACTATTATTGATTTTGTCTGAAGGCACAAGATGGATAGATTTGATCATTCCTGACCTTTCTTGAAGTAGGTAGGTGTGA